TGGACTCGCCGACCTCTCGCGTGCACTTCCAATCCTAGCCTCTATGAATCTGTGAAAGGTTACTAGTTGTTTGGGTCACTTCTGCTGAGCAAACCACTTTTGGCTTGGGCTGTGATCTGGCTCCATGCTGAACTCCGCAGCTTAGCAAGCAACCTACAGAATATCCTCTTGCCTTGGGGAAAGTCCACTGGCCTTGGAGACTGTGAGTTTGAGTGTTCTTCTACTGACATCTGTTAGCTGTGAAGTGAACAGAAAGGTTCTTTTTCTCCAATAAGATCTTGTACTCCCAACGGAAGGCAAGCACCAGTCTCAAATTTTGCAGAGAAGAGATTTTGCAAATTCAGTTGAGGTAGAGTTAGGACTAGAATCCAGGGATGACAGTCCCTAGACTTAGCCCACTTAGCCGCACTGCCTTTTGCAATGCATGGGCCAGATCAGCTAGTCACCTGTGACGGAATATCAAAGTAACGCTTGTGTACAGTGAAGAAGAGAAAGGCTGCAAATATGATTCTGTGGGGAAGGGACTGGATTGGGACACACAACACCGGAGTAACCGCTGCAGATTATTTATGTGATGTTGGGCAGGTCACTTAAACCACAGTCTTTTGAGGTGGCTACCTTTCTGAGGTCTGTTTAAAGACACCCCCCACTGTGGAGCACACTTCAGTTCTGTGCCTGATTCCCCATTTGACCTTATCCAAGCTGTATAAACTTTCTGTGCTCAGTTTCCCAGCTACAATTTGTTTTGGCTGACTGTTTAGGAGACAATTTTGGCTGATTTGGTGCTAAGAAGCCCTCTGAAGCTTTGTAGAATCCATGTTCACGGTCGGTCACCCTCTACTCTGGTAGGAGGGGAGGTTGGAGAGCAGCAGGCCTGGGGGATAATGTATTTTCAGGTTGTAGAAGGCTCCCAAGCCAGGGTAAGAAGCAACAGGAGTTCTGCTAGCTCATCCCCTTCTTGGGAACCTTGCAGGCTGTCGCTGGGCATGTGAGCCCCCTGGGGCATGCGGGTGTGAACACCTGAGGTTTGTGGGCATTGACAAAACAGGGAAGGCAGAGTTACCGTCCCAGAGCTGCCAAGTTCTGTGCAGCTCCATGTGTACCATGGTATGCGAATCAGTCAACGAACTAATCTGCACATCACCCTAAACTCTGGCTTTATGAAAACTGTGTGGATTTAGTGCTCATGCAGTCCTGGTGAGTGAAACCCTCCGTTTTTCTACAGGGGAGGAGAAAGGCAAGCTTCCCGCACAAATGGCCCTGCCAGCGTGCCCCATCCCTGATCTGGGGGTACTTCCTGTAGGGATCACAAGGTTGCTCGCTCCCCATGGCCCTGGCAGTTCTTGGCCTCTCTGCTGAGTCTGCAAATTAGTACAGAGCCCAGTGGTGAGTTTGGAGGTGGCACTGAAACCCACTAAACACATCTCATGTAGAGGCCACTAAACATCCATTAAAGGAGAACAACTTTTTATCTGCTCGGTGTCCCCCTCTGGATCCCTGATTCTTTACCTCTGACCTCGCCCCGCTCCCGTTTTTTCATTTATTGTCCCCCCCCCCCCGTATTCAACTGATGCCTGGGTCCAGTGGTTCCTCCCCGTTAATTGAAGGGGAGAGCTTTTAATTTTGGGCGGGGCTACACTCACCCATCCCCAGTACTTCAAATAATACAAACCCTGTAATAGAGCTGCCCTGTCCTCTTCTTAAAGGGACAGCTCCCATTAACCAAAACACAAACACTACAAATGCAACAATAAAATGAACATTAACACAACATCCAAATTCCCCACTTAATATAACACTTTGCAACATGAAGTCATTTTAAGAATTATTCCAGGGCCTTCACACTAGCTTACAGAGACTTCCATGAGTTATCATCAAGGTTCAAACCCACAACTGCCCAGCACAGACCGCCTACACTTCCGTGCTAGGAGCCCCAGTGGGAGGTACAGTCCTGTCTGCTGCAAGGAGCAGTCCAGAGAAAGTGACACCACTATCGGAGAACTAGATGTTGGTTCTTGGGCTCTGCTTGTGGCAGCAAAATATGATCTAGTGGTTAGAGACAACATAACGCCAGCTCTCTTTGGGCCATTTGCAGGAACGGAAGCTGGGATCCCTAGATCTAAAAGCCTGAACTTTTACCACAAGCTCTTCTACTGACTGCTTTTACTACTTCTATGCACTGTGCAATCCTTATTGAAAGGGCCTCATTTCCTGGCCATAAGGAATAAACTTCATTCTCCATCTTACAGATAATAGGTTGGATAGGCAGAACTGAGACTAGAACCCCATGTCTCTAAAATGAGAACCCACAATCGTTACCGTCCTGCCTTTCAGATGAAATGGGCCAAATTATCTCCTTATGTAACCCATGCTAAAACAATGTGCATCTTTGTCAGTCCCTAGTGGCTAGGGGACATATAGAGGTTTTTGAGTCTGCTTCTGCCATTCCCAATAGCAAAGAGGCAGTGAGAGACTAATGGTTCATGTAAATTGTAGTGACGCCTGATGCTGCAGAGGTCTGGGCATGATGCTGTTTCTGATGTTCCATCATCCTTTCCGGATGTCACCCATTCTCCCCCCCACTCCTTTGTGCAGAGACATTTTGAACACAAGCCCCACCATTGACACCTCATGTGAGCAAGAGCCTTTCTCAACTTCAGCCATCCTGGGTTTGCTTTTATTAATGAAGACATTAATAGCAAGATATCTGTGGGTTCAGCTCTAACCTCCCTCACATTCTAGATCCCCTCACTCCAGAGACCCACTTCTGTCTTGCTCCAAATGGGGTAATAAGTCACCCGTTGACTCACTGAGACAGCACTCAGAATCACTCCCTGCTAACGGGATGGGAAACATGGCCAGCCAGCACTGGGGAGCAGAGTAACCATATATTTTGCCTGATGGTGATATTGGTATGACATTCATCTAGTAGCTGCTCCTAGTCCAATGGGTAAGGACAAAGGGATTAGCTACTCTTGGGTCCCCTGGTTCTGCAAGCAGCATTTCTGATGCTATTGCTGATTTTCCAGGGATACAGGACAGCGGCACAGCTGGTACCAAGCAGGAACATGACCCTGGTTGGCTTTCACTGGAGTGTGCGACATATGACCTGGGAAGAAGACACTTCCGTATTTTGCAGATTAGGTCATAGACTCCCAAATCTAAGAATTTAGACATTAAGTTCCCAACGAGGGAGAAAGATCTGGGATTGGGGTCATTGAGTCTCTCACTATGAGGCAGGTTTGCTAATCCTTGAATCAGTCTTATGGCTCTTCTCTGAGCCCACTCCAATTTACCAGCACCCTTCTTGAAGGGATGAACCTAATTGTCCCTTCAGCCCTTAAACTTTATGAATCAAGAAACATGCGGTGGCGGATTTAGAGTTAGTGGGGCCCTGGGCTCGGCTTCATTTTTGGGGCCCCCCCTCGGGACCCAGCCAAGAAAAAGACCATTCTCTCTTATCTCCCCCACCCCTGTTTTTCATTCTTTTTTTCTTCCTCCTCCTCCTATATTATAAGTAATGGGAAGTAAATGAAAATAAAGTGAGGTACCTCGATTGGTTTTCTAGTCTAACTTTTTTTTCACAGACCACTTGAAAATTGCTAAGGGTCTCGGCGGACCACCTAATGATCTTTCCAAATATTGTTTGTACTATTAGCTAATTAGTGTAAAGTGCTTTGGATAAGAGCGCTTTATAAAAAAAAACTTAAAAAAACATTGGGGTGCATGGTCTGACCAGGAGTTAGGATGTGGGAGGAGGCTCAGGGTTGGGGTGTGGGGTCTGGGAGGGAGTTAGGGTGCAGGACGGGCTGGGGGTTGGGGTGCAGGGTCTGGACAGGAGTTAGGGTGTGGGAGGGGGCTCAGGACTGGGGCAGAG